TTCAGCCCTAAAAGGATGAAAGGACCATGTCTTCAGGATGGGAAGACCCAATAAGATGTGCTAAGGATTTTTCATATTCCCACCCATTTGTGGTAGCTTGTATATTCTCACATATACCTTCTTCAGCTTAGCACGAACAGCAAGGTTCAGAGATCATGGCCGGAATTAGCCATTCCTCCTGTTTAAAATGGGAACGCTCACAACACACCGCATAATACCCTTTTGAGGCTAAGAAGAGAATATGGGTGTCTAACACCTGCTATATTAGGATGAATAAGCAGGTTTAAAGTAATGTCACTGCTCATATAAGTATTGGGCATGCAACATCTATAAAGAAAGAAGACACAGAGGAAAGGGTTTCGCATTCATTTTTACATCTGCAGGGCAAAGTTGGCTGGCTGGGTGGGAGGGATTTGCAAAAGGCCAGCAGACGAGAGAAGAGAGGAGGGGAGGGAAAGCCAACCCTGCAGCAGCCAAGAAGAAAATCACGGACACCCTGAAAGTTGGCCGGAGGAGAAGCACGGGCGACGAGAGGTCCAAACCCAGCACATTTTTCCTCCAGACCTGCTGTTTAACCTGGAAAAATGTAGTTAACAGAGCCTAGCCACCATGACTCCAATAACAATTATTAAAATGTCTCATAAAACCTTGCATGTAATGTCAATTAAAATCTTGAAAAGCAGAATTAAGTGGGGATATTGACATTAAACTTTATTGTTTCCTCTTCGGAGCAGAGGCAGCGTCCATAAAAGTCATTTTGAATGAAGAAAAGGACTGTTCATGTGAAATAAACAGAAGTGTGCGCACGCATGTGTGCGTCTGTGCGTCTTGAAACCCAAAGAGGGACACCGGGATGGGGTCTCCTTCCCTAAATTCCTCTGGGAGAGAGTCGTTGAGCGACTGCACAGAGGCTGTAAAAAGTCAATTAAAAGCCAATAAGATGGAAGATATTTAACAATGGGCTCTTCTGAGTTGGTTACTTTTCTTTTTCCAAAGCAGATTGGCTCCTGGGGTAAGGGCTTCTGCAAAGTTCCCTCGCTGCCATGGCAGAAAACCAATTATTGGACTGGAATTTAAGGATTCGTGTGCATGTGTGCGTGCTTCTAAAATACAGTGGTGCCCCGCATAGCGCGTGTGCGCTTCTAAAATATTTTTAAATACATTGGTAACCAAATATTCCCAGGCCATTGTCAGATTTTCATCCGATGTCAAAAAGAATCACCCTTCAGTCTCGTAAGAATACAGAACTCAATTTTCACCCAGTAGAAACTCTCTACGAAAAAGATTGTCAGTGTGAAGAAAGGGGATTTTTTTTTAAAAAAAAAAGGGGGGGTTGTTTTATTCTGTCGTTTTCCTTGAGCTTTTCATCTTCTTCTCATTTAGAAGATGAGTTTTAACACAATATCTGCTCCACATTTTTGTAACAGTCTCCTCATTAATTATCTTGCATTTTCACCTGGTTTCTTTTTAATGCCAAATCGGCGTATGTATGTATGTATGTATGTATGTATGTATGTATCATTGGTGACCAAATATTCCCAGGCCATTGTCAGATTTTCATCCGGTGTCAAAAAGAATCACCCTTCAGTCTCATAAGAATACAGATCTCAATTTTCACCCAGTAGAAACTCCCTACAAAAAAGATTGTCAGTGTGAAGACAGGGGATTTTTTAAAAAAAGGGGGGGGATTGTTTTATTCTGTCGTTTTCCTTGAGCTTTTCATCTTCTTCTCATTTAGAAGATGAGTTTTAACACAATATCTGCTCCACACTTTTGTAGCAGTCTCCTCGTTAATTATCTTGCATTTTCACCTCGTTTCTTTTTAATGCCATGAGCCGCTTTGGACCCTTTAGGAGAAAATCGGCGTATGTATGTATGTATGTATGTATGTATGTATGTATGTATGGATGGATGGATGGATGGATGGATGGATGGATGGATGGATGGATGGATGGATGGATGGATGGATGGATGGATGGATGGATGGATGGATGGATGGACTGAAAGACTGGATGGATGGATGGATGGATGGATGGATGGATGGATGGATGGATGGATGGATGGATGGATGGATGGATGGATGGATGGATGGATGGATGGATAATAAATAAATATTTCTTCATAAAAATCCTAAGGTCTTCATCTCACTCACTGACTCACACACACATACACAAACAAAGAAATAAGATTTGCTTATTTGGCTAGGAAATGAGGTTGTGATGAATATGTTCTGACATAAGACAGAAAAGGCCAGTGCCAAAAACTCGCAGGGGGTTGACACCAGTAGCTCACAGATCTCCCATTTGGATCACCCTAAGTTGGAAGTAGCAAAACAGGACGCAACAACATACAAACGTTCATCCACACTCTTGTGTTCCTGGTTACCCTGTATGGATGCAAAAGCTGGACCATAAAGAAAGTTGACGGGGGGGGAGGAACTGATTTGTTTGAAATGTGGTGCTCTAGGAGAGATTTGGGGATATCCTCAGACAGCCATGAAGATGAACAAGTGGGTCCTACAGCAAATTAAGCCGGAACTCTCTCTGGAGGAAAAAAAAATGATGAGACCATGGCTGTCCAACTTTGGGCACATCCTAAGAAGGTAGGATTTTCAGGAAAAGGCAATGATGCTGGGAAAGGTAGAAAGCAGGAGGAAAAGAGGAAGATCAACTATGAGATGGACCGATTCCCTACAGGAAGGCACCGGCTTGAGTCTGCAAGAGCTGAGCAGGGCCGTTGAGGACGGGACATTCTGGAGACGACTCATTCATGGGGTCTCCATAAGTTGGAGATGACTTGACAGCACATAACAATAGCAGCAGCAACAACATGACAATATTAGTAGCTCATTCTTTCCCAGATATGAGTTTGATTTGTGCTGCAGTGTTTAAACTGCAGTACTGCAGTTGAAACTCTACTCATGACCTGAATGCGATCCTAGGAATTTGGCTCAAGGTTGGCTCAGCCTTCTGCTCTTCCGAGGTTGGTATACAGAGCACCCGGCCTAATTAAATTGTAAGCCACCCAGAGGGTGTGTTAAGTGCTATGGGGTGGTATATAAGCAGCCAGCTTTCCCTTTCCTTTGCTTGAAACTCATCCATCCACCACCACCCCTCCATATTCCCTGGATGGAAATTGAAATACTATCTGGGGATGATGGGATAGTACTTCTCTTGAGTCAGGCCAGGTTGTGTGAACCAAGCGCAAGAAGCGGCCACACAACGGAGACACAAGAAGGGGCTTTGTATGGTAGTTGACCCAGACATGACGGGACTGAAAATGTCAGAGCAGACATTCCAACTACTCTCATGTTTAACCCTGTAGGGAAGGATTTAAAAAAAAACCAGTCAGGATTTTAATGGTTTGCCAACTGAGTTTATAACAACTTGTTCCCCCATTTATAAGCCATGTGGACTTGCTTTAAAAGCTCTGAACTGCTACTGCGTGCTTCACAGGTGATGCTGAAGTCTCCCAAGCCGTAAGCGCAAGGGGAAAACAAGAAGTGACCTGGCTGCTTAATTAAGGATGTAGGTTTATACACATTTATAAAAAAAAAAATCCAGTCAACACAAAGTTGGGGGCGGCAGCAAAAAAGTGCAGGGGAAAAAGAAGAACAAGAATCAAGAAAAGAGCTTGAAAGAATTAACTGCGGAAAAGTTACTTTTGGGGTGCGTTTACTGATCCAAGGTTTACCTGGAAGCTCATGCGAAAACTTTTCTCTCGCCCTGGAACACAATTCTGGACAGACCGTTGCACGGGAAACAACACTGGTCCTTCGGCAATTTACACAAGTATACAATGGGGGCGTTCAGATGTCACAACGTGCCAGAATCCGGCCACGCTGCAGATCCGGCGGTGTGCTTGCGTGTCTGTATTTGGTTCAGCCGGAGAATAAAAGCCAGCCGTTGGGTTTGGCTACCCTCCCTAAGCCAAAGGAAATAACCCACCGTTCGGTTCCAGGGTCATTTTTCTCATTTGTCACGGAAAGGAGAAGCCCAGGACACCGTCTGGAAGTAGGTTTGGATGCGTCCCGCCTTGCAAGGCAGGAAGGAGGGGTGGGAAGCAAACGAAAGATCCACGAAAGAGACAGAATCGTGCACACTCTCTTGATCAAGGCCATTGAGAACTTGTATGGGGAAAAAAATGCCCTGAAAAATATGCACAACCAGATAATTCAGGGAATTACAGTGGTGCCTCGCATAACGAGCGTCCCGTTTAACGACGAATCCGCATAGCGATGCGGATTTACGATCACAAAAGTGATCGCGTTGTGATGTTTAAATAGGGAAAACATTGCATTGCGATGATCGGTAAGCGTTTCGCTTACCGATCTTCGCATTGCGATATTTTAAAACAGCTGATCGGCGGTTCCAAAATGGCCACCGGAAGAAAAATGGCTGCCTGCAGCATTTTCGCGCGGTTTCCTCGCTTACCGAGGTGGCGAAAATGGCGGCCGGATGGAGGATTTCCGCATAGCAGTCAGTTTTCCTCCCATGTGTGTGTTTAGTCGTTTAGTCGTGTCCGACTCTTCGTGACCCCATGGACCAGAGCACGCCAGGCCCTCCTGTCCTCCACTGCCTCCCGGAGTTGTGTCAGGTTCATGTTGGTTGCTTCCATGACACTGTCCAGCCATCTCATCCTCGGTCGTTCCAAGAAGCCAAGCGTTTTGACTATAGAAGGCACACAATCTGTAACAACTTGATACATTAAGGTGAGCCATAAAGGTAGACATTGGTGGGCATTTTAACAATATACCACAATATTTTCCCTTGTTTGCATCAAGACTCAGGCGCAACCCAACAGTGTTCTGGAAGCAGAAGGATCAGCCAGAAGGGCCCTGTCGTGGATCATGGGACACCACAATTTACTTGTATATATTTGGTGTCTTTTATAAGCCATCTTTCTCCCGACAAGGGGAGGAGGCATCTCGCAATGTTAAAGGCTGGCGTTGGCAACCAAGGTCTGAAGACATGGCTTGCTAGTCAATGGGCCCGTCTTACCTGGAAAAGGATTTGCAGGATGCCGTGGGAGAGGCACATGCGCCTCCCGAGGAAGAGGAAGAACGGCACAACCAGCTCAATGAAGTGGTTGAAGAGAGTCTCAAACTGGTGGAACCATCCCGGCGAACGGTGCATGTAATAGGCGATGGGGTTGGGCACCGGCTGCGTCTGAAAGAGAAGCGAAACACATATCAGCTGAACAAGCCACGGCCACAATTGCAGTCGCGAGGGTGCTTTGGTGCATCGTGCGTTGACGTTTCTCCCTCGGAAGGCAAGCCAAATGGCTTTTCAGGAACACAACACCACACAGACGAGGGGGAAAAGCAATGCAAACGTGGAGGTCCTGCATTTGGCTTTGATGAGGACGATCTGCTGCTCTGCAGACATTTGTCCCTTGGCGGTCAGTCAAAAAGTGACCAGCCCTCGTAGCTTCTCTGGTGGCTTCCTCAAGACTTCTCCAGCTGCCAACCTACCTGGGCGATGCTGGCTGCCTTCCTTTAAGCATGCCTCCACAGAAAGGATGAGAAGCGAAAGATGAGGAACCCTCTTCGCCGCCAAAATTCACTAGGAAGTGCCAACAGGAAACTGCTCTTGCAATATCTGTTCTGGATCAAGCCAGAGTACGGGACACTTAGCAATGTCCTCAAGAACAGGATGCCAGCTTTAGGCTGAATACCAGGAAAAACGTCCTAACAGTTAGAGCAGTACGACAACAGAACCAATGATGACCTTGGGAGGTGGTGTGAATGCTCCAACACTGGAGGCCTTCAAGAGGAAATCGGACCACCCTACGTCCGATCTGAAATGGATCCCTGCCTGGAGCAGGGGGTCAGACTCGATGGCCTTAAAGTCCCCTTCCAGCTCCCTGATTCTAGGATTCTATGAACATCTCATGTACCTCAGAAACCCCTACTTAGGGTCACCATTAATCAGAAGAACTTAACAACAACCCAACCATGTTCTCAAAGGATTGTACAAAGCACAAATTTGAGCATACTTTATATTTTGCAGAAAAGCTTAATAAATGCACTCCCTTTTTAAAAATTATAACAAAAACAGCTATGTATGAATGACTAGGTTTGCTTTTGCACACACACACACACACACACACACACACACACACACACACGAGCCAAGGATACACAGACGTAATATGGCCTGCGTTCAAGAACTCTGTCATGCATCGCCCCAGCACTGCAAGACCAGAGAACAATTAAAAACAACAAAACAGCAGCTACATTGGGAGTCATTCATCTTGGCCTCTCCAATGCAGGCTAGATTCATTAGCATTTATTTAAATAATCCTGTCGGCAAAACAGGGACAGCAAGGAAGGCCAATGATCATGAAGGAGACGTAATAGGTCTCTAAATTGTTTGCAGCTTCGGGGGGGAAAAAGATATCAAAAAATAAAATACATACACATACACACACACATCATGCACAAACAGCACAAAGGGAATAAGATCATGGTCTGTCTCAGAACTGCGTTCAGAGGCGGCTGCCAATGGCTGTAACTAATGCAGTTCCTCACCAGAAAAGCTGGAATTAATCAGAGTGTTGTTTTATATGGGTTTTTGAGCCGGCTGGAATTCCCTTTGGGACAGAAGACTGCATCCTTCCTTCCGCTGACACGGGGGCAGGATGGAACAAGCCAAGGGGTCACGGAGCTGTGCCAAGCCCCTACACCGAGGGGCCAAAGGGTCAGGGGATCCCGGCGTCCTGGGGTCAGAGAACTCACCGGTCGCTTAAGAGGTCCTCCTCGCCGGATGGAGGATGGTTTGAGTTAGCCTGGATGTCAGAGCTCAGAGAGGAGAGAGAGTGAGAGGCGTTTTCGGTCTTGATTGCCAATGGCGAGGAAGTCTATAATTTTTTATTTCCCCTCATTAATCTGGTAGCAAAATCCTTTTGCTTCCCCATGCCGGGCGAAATGATGTGATCGACTCGGAATCCTTATCGGGCCTGGATCTATTTTCTAGTCTCAGCTAGAATCAATGAGATTTATAGGACTGATTTGCCAAGAAGGAGCTGATCCTTTAGGTCTGCCCTTAGCTAGGACTCACTTACAACCATTAAAAGATAACTTTCAAAGGTTACATGTAAGGTTTAAAGGTAAAAAGTAAGTATACAGTATTTATGAAGGAATAAAATATTATATATAAAAGGTAAAAAGCCTTTTTCTTCATACGGCATTGTTTTTTCTCCTCAGTCACTAGTGGTCTGAGAGGTTTCTTTCCCCCAAAACTGGATTGTTGTGCTCTGTTGCTTTGAGTTGTTTTTTTCTCCTCAGTCACTAGCAGTCTGAGAGGGTTTTTTCCCCCAAACTGGATTGTTGTGCTCTGTTGCTTTGAAATAAATTGATTTTATTTACCGTTCTTAACATGATACCTGTTTAATTCTTTTTTTTTTTCAATATTTGTATATTTACTGCTTTTAGCTTTTCAATATTGTCCTATTAATTAAGTATGCCGCCTTGGGACTTTTTAAGGAGAAAAGCAGTGTGAAAATGTTTTGAATGAATGAATGAATGAATGGATAGATAAATAGCGTATTTTTCGCTCCATAAGACGCACCTTTCCATAAGACGTACCAATTTTTTAGGAGAAGAAAACAGGAAAATATAATCTGTTTTCTTCGCTCCATAAGACGCACAGACTTTCCACCCCCCCTGTTTTGTGGGGAAAAAGTGTGTCTTATGGTGCGAAAAATACGGTAGATAAAATCAATAGTAACAACACATTTAAAAACAACACAGCACATCAAGGGCTTGCTCTAAAAATCACACTGTTTCTTAAAAGGCTGCTCAATCAACTTGGAGGGTCCTCTTTTTTTGGATCAATTTAAATTTAAACACTTTTCATCAATTAATCTAATGCAGCCCTCCAATGTGCGCCGAATGACACCACCAGGAACTTTTTTTTTCTATCTCCCTTTCTGCTTCCACCGTTCGAAAAGTTTGCGTGGACAAATGTGAAGTCCGAAGTTTTCAAATGCAAAAAACGGGTTTGTCTGCATAAAAGCACCCGCCTGGCCTCTTTCTTAAATGTTTGCAAGTGGGAGGAGCCAGGGAGTAATCTGGGAAGGAAATTTATGTGTAATTAAGCCTCTAGAGAGCTTCTGCTTTATTTATTTGTTTGTTTATTTAAAGAAAAGGGAAGGGGGAAAAAATAACCTTGCAAGCTTCTTTGCTAAGCAAGGCTCTCCCAGTCTGGTAATATTCAGTTTGTAGAAAAACATGTTGGAATTTGCCAGCATTAAAGACATGTGCCTACGCCAAGGAGCTAGCTGTCTGTTGGGCTCCGATGCCAGCAGGACAGCAAAACGCCGGCAATTTACTAGAGACATACCGCCGTGCCACTTTCCCAGAGGACCAAAATAAATTTCAGATGTGTGTGCATGTATACATTTTTAAAACAAAACAATGAAGACCGTATATACGTGTAAATCTGTTAGCTCATCATTAACCCTTTCTCTCAATCTCCTTCATATTAAAGTTTTCTCTCCAAAATAACAACAACAATAATAGAACTGCAGAGGGTTTTCTCTGCAATATAACAACAACAACAATAATAGAACTGCAGAGCTGGAAAGGAATCTATTGATCCCTGAGACCAATCAATGTCAAGAAGGCACAGTTGATTTCCCTCTAGGCTTCTTTCACTTGGTCTGGACTCAATGATCCATAGGGACTCTTCCAGCTCTATAGTTCCATAGCCAAAGCCAAGGTTTAGCAAACAGAGTCCTATTGTTGGAGCAGGAAAGGTAGAATCCTAGAATCATGGAGTTGGAAGGGCTCTCTAAGACCATCGGGTTCAGCCTCCTGCTCAAGGCAGGAATACAAATCAAAGCATGTTCTGACAGAGATTGGTCCAATTTTCTCTTGAAGGCATCCAGTGCGGGAGCGCCCACCTCCTCCCGAGGTAACTAGCTTTGTTGTCCTACTGCTCTGTTAGGAAGTTTTTCCTGATATTCAAAGTTTGGTTCCCTGTAGCTTGAGCCCATGATCACGCGCCCCGCACTCTGGAAAGACCGAGAACGCATTCTGCCTCTCCTCCGTAGGACCACCTTTCAAGTGCTATCCAATCTCCCTTCAAGTTTTGTTTTCTCAAGATCCAAGGAAAAAGTCCAGAAGCCATCCAGAGTCAAGGCAGTCCGTTCTTAACAGTTAACAGATGGGGAGAGCCCGAGAACTGCAGTCAAGCAGTCCAAGAATAATGCACCGCCAAAGAGTGGGGAGCTGGGACCCCAAAGTTACGACAAGAAGGGTCTGGAGCCAGGGGAGACCTTGTTTCTAATAAATTCCCACTCCTGGCCTGGCAGTCATACAGCAGAGCTGCTTGAAGCCCCATCCAGATGTTAGCTGCAGGCATCTGGAAGGTCAGGAGAAGAACCTCAACTGCAGGATTTGGCTTCAAGGGTCTCCCCAGGAGGGAAAGCTTCTCCCCAAAGAGACCATCTACTCTTGATTTTCCTTGCAGCCAAGCTCCTTATCTTATGGAAGCTTCTTGGACAGCTTGTCCCTTTCTCCTGCAGCAATCTCCTGGGTAAGAGGGCCAGGCCGCCTCTCCTCAAATGCAGACCTAGAGGCACGTTCTTCTGGACGTTCAGCCTCTTGGACCATGAAAGGTCCAGGGAACACAAGATTGGACCGTTCCTCCTTCCTCCGTGTATTCGCCCTCGCTGGAGAACCCACAAAGAGGGGTCATTAAGACTTCTATAACTCGCACTCAACGGCTGTGTTAGAGGGGGATCATGGTGCTTGTAGTCCATTTGTCTTGGAATGCTTCAAAGACAGAAAGGCCAGCCTCCTTTCCCCCTGGGCTTATACCTCCCCCTGCTATTTCTGCCTTTCGGCTGGTGCCGAAAAGTTACTTTTTCCCTAGCACCAAGACTAGATTAAGCACCGGTTGGACAAGACACCTTTCTCACCCAGCTTCTCCTGAACCAAGAGGTGGCATTTCAAATCTCAAACAAAATGATTGGGAGAGGCAGGTTCGAGAGGAGATCAGGGCAGTTTCTGTTTATCAAAATGGACCATACATTTTTAAAAAAGGGGGGGGGAGGAGAGAAGCGCCAATCTAGAAAGAAATGAAGGTGGGTCTGATGATTATGCTCCCTGTTTTTGCTGGGGAGGTGTAGGGTGTCCCATCCAAAATTCACCACAAAACAA